TCACGTCACCGTGGCATACTGACGCATAATCAGCTTATACGGAACCAAAACATGATCTTGCTTCCTGTTTTTTATTATCTGTTGAGTACACAGAATTGATTTATTTCTTAAACTAATGAGGTCAACGTGGTGGGGGTTATGTAGAAGAAGAAATGGCATTGGAAGGCGTATCGTGTCCTCTTTCATATTATTATGCTATTGCGAGTGTGTTGACTTTAAAAATGTAGGTGAGGTGTTGAGAAGTGCCGAAATGGTAATAGATGTTTTCCTAGTTATGTTTTTGTACGACAATGCAATGAGATTGATTCTTGGTTTGGTCAGACTGTCATTATAATGGTTTCCGATCTGAAACGAAATTGCGTAAAGTTTTTATTGTGCGTATTACTATGTAATATGTAATACATAACAATGTACACGAAACACCTTCTATTCGTGGCCATTTTATTCAGTTTGTGCTTTCAAATCGCTAAAATTAATTTCAATCAACAAAACCCAGCACTATTTCGGATTAACTTCTAAAAGGCAAAACTATTGTTAGAAAGTACGTAGCAATTGTATCCATTACCCCCCTTATTTCCTCTTTAAAACCTAACCATGTTAATCACGAAATAAGGTCCATAATCGTTTAAGCTATTAGGACCGTTTAATATGGGTCGTTTGTCCAATTTCACAATTCGAAATGGCGCGGTAATCGCGATATCAACTGGACTATCAGGGTATAACCCGGTCGGGTTGCATGGTCATTACACAATTATATAATGTAAACTATGCGCTCCACTTCGCAAATAAGCAGTATAATAGGGTATGTTGCTATTCCCTGGTGTTCTAATTAGAAGGTAACATGTAGCCAACTTGTACCTATATCTACGTGTGTTAGGTTTCATACGCTTTCTGAGTATTAATAGGATGTGTATTTAAGCTGTTAGTAGCTACCGACCCTAAATATATTATAACGACATTTCAAACTTTTTACCAATATTAAACTTACAATTTCCTTTCGTTTGGTTAAACTCATTTATAATACCTCTGTTAAGTCAATAGCCACTCAGATGTATTCTTCTAAGTAGCCTGTTGGGTTACATCATTCAAATCACAGAGATCTAGTTTTATTAGCTTCGCTGAATGCTAGATATTGTTCTTTTACAAAACCCTTTTTTTCATACCACACTGAATGATTCATCATCATTTACATAACGTCGCGGAGAACTTAACGGGTTACCAGGGCTCCGGCTCGAAGCGCAGAAGAAGGAACGGGATGGTTTTTAGTCAGTAAGAGTCTGACACTCCCGCCTCACCCAGGCGGGAGCAGTCATTCGATGATTTTCCTCCCTTAAAATTTTTTTATAAGGTTATTAGTCGCATCGTGTGAAAAGTCCTATGTTGGAATATGTTCCGACAACAAAATTGCTAGACTAATGTAATAGAGAATACATTCTAAATATAGCGTAAATACCTAAATATAGCATTAGTTATCTAGTTACAGATAACCTTAAAGTCTAAAGTGCACACACAGGGACATACAAACTGAGTATTACAGTATCGATTACGTCAAAGTGCTCTTTATACGAGTCTACTATTGTTCTAAAAATAGTATTAAAAGAAATTAATTGATAAACTTAATCTATCTAGGATGGTTTGAAAACTTTAACTATATTTTGTCTAAGATAATTATAATTGAGTATTTATAACTATAGTAGGTATACCATGAGCAGTGCTACAATTTTCCGAACAGGAAAAACAAAAACCATATAGATAGAACCTAAGTCGTTTCAAAAATATTTCTTCATGAAATTGTGTTAGTCTGAAGTGTAACATCAAATAAATGTAGATATACAATCTTCATATAACTCCTAGGTATAATTAAAGCTAAGGATACACTAGGGAACAAATGTCCCGCGACACGTGTCGCCAGCGACGTCGGGTGAAGTAGCGCGACGTTGCCGGACTTTGGTCGACATGTCTGGCAACATCAACGTCACTGTGGACATAGGCTGCGCATTGTCACTGTATAATATGTCAGGCGACATCGGCCGGTACCGCCGATACGTGTCTTAGGATGTGTACCCTAGTGTATCCTCGGCTTTATACTTTAATTAAGGGCACATAATCACTCTTATCAAGTTAAGTGACAATTAATAATGTGACTACATAATAGAAGTCTTCAAATCTCAACGAAACGTTAGCGACTGATAAATTAGCTCCTTATACCAACAGCGAACTGAAGCGTAGACAACTAAAATACCAAGTGAGCGTGCCAAAATCTCAGACATTCTACCCCAAAACTTAATAACTTGTTACAACCGAAATTCAACTTTAAAACAATCCCGTATAGTTTAGATTTAATTTGCCAGACAAATATCTAATAGTTATACAAAATTGTACTATAAAGTTGGGGTTGTAAAGTCCAATTTTAAATGAGGTTACCCATGTTTAAGCTGTCCAAATAGTTAAAGTTGTTCTGTCTTAAATTCGATGTGAATCGCTGGCGTGGTTGGCGATAGCTACTTGAATAGAATTCTCGAACAATGTTGCCACAAAAATTAATCCGTCATTTAAGCGATTTTTAACCTTATTGTGAGAATTGGAACAGTTAGTTTTACACTCATTACTAGCACTCAGTTTTACACTCATTTCTGTAAGACGATTGTTCACGCTTGTTCAACTTGGATTTGTCCATACTTCAGGACCCAAATCAACTAGACAGGTTTTAATCCTTGATAATTGGTTGATTTTGAAGGGTATACTAACTTACTAACATCATGCAATAACGTCACCTTATTATGTACTCGTGTCCATTGAAAGTAAAAATCATAATGGAAAATCATGGCTCTCCCTGATAAACCACCCACGCGAGTGTAAAGACAGATAGCTTTCAATATGAAATTAGTGCTTTAGAAGCAAAGGCCCAGGATATTCCTGTATACCCTAATACTATTAAGCCGCTATGACCAATATCGAAATTCAACTAGCTTCAACGCTTCCATGGAGTAAAGATCTTAGATATTAAATTAAACCAGGTCACAATAAAAAGGATTTGATATTTTAAACGTGCAACAAGTTTGTTATTTTTATAAAATGTAATCTTTCATGTTTTATGTAAAGTTTTTTATTAGATCCAATGTTGAATATTGTTTTTCAATTAAGGTAATTAAATGTTCCGTAAATAACCTCGGTCTCGACTGTCGCGCGAAGTACATTATGATTATGAAAAGCCATATAATTTATATGTATCACGATAAGAATCATAATATAAAAATACAAAATAAATAAGTAAATAAATACAACACTTTCTTCTTGGACAAAGATACAGACAGAATGTCGTCCAATACATTAAAATAAGTGGAACTGTAAATATTTATCGCTCATTCCACTCACACATCAACAAAATTCTTAGCGCGAAAAATAATCGCGAGGAAAACGTATTTCTGTTACAACTTCAAATGACGATTCGAGCTGAACGTCAATCAAAAATATTATTAGTACGAGTGTTTCCAAGAATAAAATTATTTCCACAAAAATAGAAATAATTTTCGTTAAGAAATTCGATGTCAAAGTTATTTTTTCAGACGTTTCGTGTTGTTACATAGCTAGACGTAAATTGAGCGTTGAATTATCATTTCTAAAAATATTTTTATAGATTTATGTTATGTATAACGTACCCACCTATGTGGGTTGTAATTCTCATGTAAGAAGTTATGTTAATTTTGTGTATTTTTAGAGATTGTTAGAAACTATTTGTGTCACCATTGTCAACATCGTCACGTCTAGCTACTAATTCTCATAATAATAGATATGTATACACTTGAGTAGATATCTATATAAACTCACTTTTACACAAAGATAAAGCATTTAAGTCAGTAAAAAGGAATAAAGTACTTGATTGTTATAGAAAGTCAAATCCATGTATCCTTTATTGAAGTTGTTATGTCAATTCTCATGGAGGAAAAATAGAGAAAAAGAGCCAGGCTTTGGCACGAATGGGCCGGCTCGACTGGAGTGATACCACGGCCTCACAGAAAACCGACGTGAAACAACGCTTACGTTGTGTTTTGTCGTGTGAGTGAGGTTACCGGAGGCCCAATTACGCCTAAAGTCTCCCCAATACCCGAATCCTCCACAATCCTCAAATTCCCAATTCCCAAAAGGCCGGTAACACACTTGAAACGCCTCGGTGTTTCAGGTGTTCATGGGCGGCGACGATTGCTTACCATCAGGTGATCCGTATGCTCGTTTACCGGCTTATACCATAAAAAAATGGAAAACAGTGAACTCTATACACATTCCTATTTAACTTCACATTGTTAAATAGGAATTTCTGTCTTCAAATAAAAGCCACTGGTACTTTCAATTCAATTAAAAATCTTATAAGTATCTAACACATATCTTTAACAAAGCATATCTCCAACATTAAACTTTTACACAGTACATTTTCAAAGCTAAGAGAATTCATCAAAAAATCCAATTTCCTCTTTTGACATCGTTCGTGATAATTTATATTGTTATACAAGTGACGTCATATTTAATAACTGAGTCATGTAGGTATGTACTTAAACCCTTTGCTAAAAGTTATCGCGACTTTTCAAGTTCGTGCTCGTACGAGTCCGTAAAACCTATCTCATTATACTGATGTAGGTACAATCTTTTGATCGTCTTTGTTTAATATCCTTAGTTCCTTTTGATGTTACACTTCTTTTTAGCGAAGATTTCGCTTCATTTTAAGATGACTTTACTGTTTTTTCCTATGTATAGTATAGTGTTATGTTTTTGTGGAAATAACTGTTTGATGAAGTAACTAGAAAGCTATTTTAAGTGCTTATAACGTACGAGGTTCTTACAACTGCCTACGAATGTAGGGACTCCTTGTACTTAGCACATATGTATAAAAATACAATTATTATCATCTACAATTTGAATCATGAGGAAACAACCATAATACGTACATTAATCCTGACTTCCTTTGATGTATCAAATAAGGTTCTTATTCCATTCTTCTTTCACAGGCCAGGAGTACAATTTCAACAAGCTTACAGAAGAAGAAGTGAATTCGTTAGGACAAACATATGACTATGACTCCATCATGCATTATGCAAGGAACACGTTCAGTAAAGGAACGTATCTCGACACCATACTTCCATTGGAGGTCCACGGGAAGAAGAGACCGGAGATTGGCCAGAGAGTGAGACTCAGCGTCAGTGACATAGCACAGACCAATTTGTTGTATAAGTGTGCAAGTAAGTTATTGTAATATGCTTATTTTTTTAATTGCGCTGTACGGCTTGTGTAACTATTCAATCGAGGGTACTCGACTAGTTTCAAGAGTCACCAGGGATTCATAGCTATTAATAATATAATCAAGTAACTGTTGAATATAGGCAAGTAAAATTTTTTTTTCGAAAACAAGAGCTTTTTTCTAAGTTTTTTTCTGTTATACAAGTTATATTTTGACTACTAACAGGAATTGTCTTCGGTAGGAAAAGAAACTGTTTTTATAATATAAAAAATACATGAAACCAGGGTTTCCTACCTGGATAATAATTATACACTAGCCTCCATCAACATTATGTTTTCCATAAAAAGTTATCATACTAGATTTAAACCCGAGTGTACACTGAGTGGAAGGGTTGAATGGATAAAATTAACATGTACCCGACCCCTAATGTTGTTAACAGGGCCCGCAGATGAAGACTAAGGCTTATCCTTGTTGAATATGAGAATTTATACTTGTACTATGCAAAATTTTAAAAGCACTTGTGTATTGGTTTATGAGAAGTTAACTACTAACTGTTGAAACAGCCAAGAAACTATGTGGCGGTTATTTTTATGTAGGATACCTTAATCGTTTAGTACTGAACCCAATTTCGCCAAAACTTAAAGAGAATCTATACCCTAATTGAGGTATTATTATACAATATATTATACAATAGCCCCAATTACCCCCTTCCCCAGTCTCTCCAATCCCCGAATCCCCCACAATCCTCAAACTCCTAATTCCCAAAAGCCCGGTAACTTACTTGTAACGCCTCTGGTGTTTCGGGTGTCCATCACGACGCCGATTGCTTACCATCAGGTGATCCGTCAGCCCGTTTACCAGTTTATGTCATAAAAAAAGCATACAAGTGAACACAGGTATCGTTCATTATGCTATCACTACCAAACCACTGAATTAACTTTGACACATTTTGCCACAGAGACCACGAAGACGCCTAATATGTATATTAAGCAAGAGCCAATGTTTAAATAAGCAAAACCACAGACAAAAGTCTGTTTCAATTATGCGATAATTTTAGAGTCAAAAGAGGAATAATGGCTATTTAAACAGAACTCTTGATTCAAGTAATTCTGGAATATCAGCGTTATTCGTATTGATTTAAGATTGGATTTGTAAATTTACAATTTAATTACTTCAGTGGCAGATATCTTTAGTTCAGAATTTTAGCCACGGTATTATTTATATTAGGTAACATTTATTACTGAGGCTAATATTTTTATAATAACTATCGTGAGACATACTAAATTAAGTAAAACTTACTCATGAGGAAGAACCCCTCTGTGGTTCGAAACTAGTAGAGCTTTTCTCAGTATATTTACGTGAGTAACCCGCGATTTTACTTAATTGAGGGTAATAGTACAAAATTGTAACTGAAACACAGAAATAGAGATATGCACCTAAATACACAGAGGAGTTGGCAACAGAATAACTAGTTTTTAAAAACTAACTGACGTAATCGTTGTTTAACTTATTAAGTTTTTGACTTAATCATGAGTATTTTGAAACTATACAACAATAATTATGTCAAGTCAAAATCATTTATTTCAATTAGACCAGAGATACACTTTTGAACGTCAACAAAACATTCAAATTGAAGCTCTTTGCTCATTCCATTATGAAGAATGACCAAGAAACGCTATAGGTATAACGCTATACTCTTTTTTAGTCACATTCACAATACAATACAATAAAAGTATTTTTTTTATTATAACACTGAAGAGCCATTTATAATTGTAATAATTAAATTAATTATCTATACTTGAGTTGATTTGGTGAAACTCGCTGTGATTGCGCAATACAGCTCATGATTATGAGCCCCAAATATCGCCTGAAACAAGTCCAGCTACCTCGTCGAGCACGTACGTAGTGAAAGTCGTAAAATATAATTAATTTACGACAATAGTAGTCACCTAAAGAACTACAAATCCAACAAGATTGTCACGAACTTCACACTACTCTAAAATTAATTAACATGGCTCATAAGTCCCTAACAACCCATAATTTGTACAGACGACTATTGAAAATATGATAAACCAGTATAAAATGATCCAAGATTATGCGGAAAAATCATACAAAACGAGACCATTATAAACTAGGTCTGTATGTTTAATGTGTATCCGAGACAATATATCGTATTTTATAGGTTAATTAAATAATTATTGTTTAATATTATGTAAACAGAATGCGGAAGGACACTGTTGGGTAACTCGGGGTGGTTCAATTCCCCCGGGTGGGGCAGTGAGACTCCTCCGGCGACCCCGGAACGGTGTGAGTGGAGGATCGTGGCGACACATGGAGAAAGAGTTGTGCTGAACATTACTGGTAAGTTCCTTTATATCTAAAAGCGTATTTCGTCGTCATGTATTAAAGACAGTGGGAGAGCCATGCTTCGGCACGAATGGGCCGGCTCGACCGAAGTGATACCACAGCTTCACAGAAGACCGACGTGAAACAACGCTCGCGTTGTGTTTTGTCGTGCGAATGAGTTTACCCAACGGGGGGGGCCTTCCTCAATCCCTGAATACCCAACAATCCTCAAATTCCTAATCCCAAAAGGCTGGTAACGCACTTGTAACGCCTCTGGTGTTCCAGGTGTCTATGAGCGACGCCGATTGCTTATCATCAGGTGATCCGTCTACTCATTTACCGGCCCATAAAAAAAGACAGATTATAATAGATTTGTCGCCTGCCCTGCTTTTCTCTTGGGTGTCGTAATAGCCGCCAGAGAGACTACACATTTGACAAATGCCTGGGCGTAGCGCACTCTGATAAACCTGTTAACCTGTGATCTCCATTTCCCCAACGTGCTTGCTAAGCATTGAGATTATGTCAAACTTTGTTACGATACGTTACGTTACGACCTTTCTTTTTTTTTATCTATTTAAAAAACGTTACCCCACATTAAGATTTGCTCCTGTATCGTGGGTACGTTTACAAACAAGTTCACATACACATAACACCCAGACCCGAAACAATAATTTGTAGATCACACAAAGAGTTTCTCGGTACGGGAAACGTACCCGCTACACGTTGCGCGGCAGTCGGTTGCCCACCGTAGCAACCATGCAGGCATTTTATTGTTAAATAAGATTTACAGTTGAGCATAGCACCGAGGGAAGTGGAAACTATAGTTTTTTCTTATTCTCCTCTTATAATATCTTCTGATTCACTTCGTTGCGGGAACCAAGACAGTTACTCATGTCTCTGGGACGCGACGGACTTCAATGTTCCGGTGTTTTCATGGTTGTATCTACTGTAGATCCTGGCTTACAGGAGTTGCAGCGGTTTTGAGAGGTAGTGGCGGGCTTGTCCAAATAAAAAAAAAAGTTGAGCATAGCACTGTCACGAGTTGTCGTGAAAACATATTTGAGAATTAAAAACTACATTTGTTTGCCTTTTCAAAGGAAAACAAATCAGATACTCTTCACTACATTGTATAAAACAAATTCGCTATCCGCCGTCTGTCTGTCCCTATGTATGCTTAGATCTTTAAAACAACGCAACTGAATTTGATGCGGTTTTTTTAATAGATAGAGCGATTTTTAAGGAAGGTTTATATTTATAATACATGCATATTGCATCCGTGCTAAGCCGAGGCGTGTCGCTAGTATTTGATAAAAATAACTTATTCAAAAGCAAATCAATAAGTGAATGTGTGTTATGTAAATTAGGTATCGGATTTAGTCTACACGTTCTTAAATGTCAAGTCTTCATCAACTTACGCAAATGAGATACGAGAGTCTCATAGGTACGGTACCAACTGGTGAAATCTAGGTAATTGATTGAATTCATTTCCTAGTGAAAATTGCATTTTAAGTTTACATTTAAATCTATCTCGTGTCTTGATTAAAGAGTTTCAGTAATCGAATATATGTAAATGAATTGTAGGATTCATAATTACTATGACTTTTTACTTGATTTAAATTGACTGTATTATATTAACACACTAGCTGTTGCCCGTGACTTTGTCCGCGTAGAATTTAATACCTATTTTATCCTGTGGCGACACATGTCAAATGACAGCTCACGCACATAGATGAAAAAAATCAACGGATGACGTCACAAGAATCCTATATCGCACATGCAAAGTTTACACGCGAATTAAGACTGATAGAAAATCCCAACGAACTACTGTTGAGCAGAAAGCCCGTCAGGCACGATCACCTCGCCTGTTCGGAGGATCCTCCTTTTCCGATCGACTATACTGTCTGTTCCCTAAAATCCCATGGGAACATTAAATCAGAATAAAAAGTATCCTATCACCTATCCTATCAGTAGTTTCTCAGCGATTGACGGACAAACATCCAAAGATCCTTTCACATTTATAGAATTAGTGTGATTGATTAATAATTACCCCCCCCCCCCTTTCCCAATCCCTGAATCCCGAAAAATCCTCAAGTTCCTAATCCAGAAGGCCGGTGTAACACACTTGTAACGCCTTTGGTGTTTCAGGTGTCCCTAGGCGACGCCGATTGGCTTACCATCAGGTGATCCGTCTAAGCATATACCGGCTTATTCCATAAAAAAAATCACACCCAGAAATTTACAGAAGAAAATATTTCCGCGCACATCACGGACTATATACCGCTTTCAAATCCTGAAATGAATAGACGGTCAATCCAAACCAGCTTCTTACATATAGATAAATCAGACGCACCCCTTACTAAATAAGAACCATTTGTTATCAAGAAATCTGTGTCTGAATACGACCTAAGAATAAATGTGGGCTAGAATCTATCCATTATGATCTACATCTACGGAATACTAATTTATAGTCATAATATGCCAATGACAACGACAGCCCTCTACAAACGTGCATAGCTGTGTATGTGAGAGCCATGAATTGGCTCGACCGGAGCGATCCTACGGCTTCACAGAAAACCGACGTGAAACAAAGCTGTGTGTTTCACGTCGGTCGGTCGTTCGTCGTGTGTGAGTGAGGTTACTGGAGGCCCAATTACATGTAACACCCACTTTATAACTAATAACATTATTAGGCTCATGTAATAGGGGGTAAGTATATTGCCATATACCGCGCCCAATTCCAGACTCCGTGCTACTACTGAGATGTTTTTTAAAAACCCAGTAATACTTTGCCCGACCCGGAACTCGACCACTCGGCCAACGACCCAGACATGAATTTTTAAATATGAAACTTAATATCACGATTGGTAAATAATTCAATTATGGACCCAAAACTCAACAGTTCCCTGCAACCAACATACCAAACACAAAACTGTTTGCTATCAAAAAAAACGCTTCTATAAAAAAGATCAGAGACGTGCCGTGAAAGACGTCATTCTTATCCCTATCCATTGTCTCGGCATTATATCAAAAATCCCATAGCTACACCCCTGCCTCAATACGTCACGAAAAGTGCTCTTCTAGGAAGGTTTTGAAGTGTTTGCAAAGAACCTTCGCAGCCCAATTTTGCTGTAGAGCCTACTTGAGACAACCCTCGGCGGTTAGGGAATCGCTAATTTTTATAAATGCACGCAAATGGCTTTTTTACATACACCATGTTGGGTCCTGCCACTTATGTGTAGTGTGTGTGATTTATGTACAGCTAAGGTATGATAAAGTACTGAAAAGGTTGCGATATTTGGTTTATTTTTAAGCAATAATACTTAACGTGTGTGTTATAACTTTGTAATGTACAGGGGATCACTTGATTTTATGTATTCACAGAACAAAATTACTCGTAACAGAGATTTTACACATTTGTCGGCATGTCTGTTAAGTTTCTTCATACTTTTTTGATCAGTATAACAGTGACAAACTAAATAATCGAATGATCAGCCAATGTTACGTAGGTACACATGCCTTAATGGTACGCCTGTCGTTCGTATAAAGGTATGTAGATATGGCAAACCAGTTTATGAACAATGCCGTTACACCGATATTCTTGAAACAAGGAAACCAATTTACCATGAATTTTTAAGACACTATAAAATCCGACACCTACGTGTACATACAACATAAAATGTGAATCTTATCCTAAAATATTCAACAAAATATAAAAACAAGCGCTTTCTACTTCTACATAGGAATCGGTAAAACATTACATTCGGTACATAATTTCCGTTTCGTTTCTCGCACTAAATCTAAATCTCCCGAAGTAAAACATGAACTGGATGCTTGGGACCTCATATTTAGGGTCTTACTTTATTAGCGGACAACCCTTTTAGGGTCTCATTATTTTAGCGAAAAAGAAAATCCTAAACACGAGTGTATGGCCATCAAACACAGGGACGCGGCAGTCATGGGTGCTCTCTTGGGCGGGGAGTGTTGCTTGTGATGGAACGAATGCAACATGAGGAAATGTGTGTGCAGAAACATGTAGAAATAGAATATGACCAATTGACTTTGGACTATTGTACGCTTTATTGGAATCGGCCCATGTGGCAAGGGTTGAGGCGTCATGCACACATAAATGCCCTACAGTCGGTGGCGCTGTGTGTTGGGTTGTTCCGTTCCCAATAAAAAGGTTGACCGGACCAATTGCTGACACACACGTCATACTCGTGAACGGGTGCTGGGTCAGGTCGGCTCTCCCATCTTGTTGGTGGGCTGGTTTCATAAAGCCTTTGAAATAGAAATAAATAAATAGTGCCTAATTATTATGTAACCTATACTTTTGCTAATAATTATAGATGTAGTTAATTGTAGTATGTAACTAGGTTCCCTCTTTACTTTATAAAAATTGACTAGATGTATTATAATTAAAAAACTGTATGACAAGGGCACGGACCTAGAGTCCGTGGAGAAATAATCTTTAATATTAAAAAAAAAAAAAAAACACGAGTGTAAAATTATTTCTTTGTTCGTCTTGTAAATGTAAATAATTATTAAAAATGTTTTCTATCACTTGGGAATAGGGTTGATTAATTGCAACTTGAAGTGATAAAGTGAAGTTGAAAAATGTACCTAACCTACCTAGTCATTATCATTGTCATCAGGGGTTGGTCTGGCAGCATTTGGGGCTCTCAGCTGAGACCGAATGTGGGGCAACCCCGTGTTTTCAGGGTGAATAAAAAAAAATAAAAAACTCCAAAAATAAGTTGTTCCGTACAAGAATGGAACCAAATTCACGTTGCGCGGCAGCCGGTTGTACCCACTGCGTCAACCATTTGCGGTTGCAGCCACCGTGCAGTCATGTCATCATCAATAATTTCTGGAAAGTGAATATTATATTTAACTTTTATATTATATGTTTGCACCTTTCATACGTAATAAAAGATAACTTGACTATAAATGTTGATGACGACGACGTCATCTACACCAACTTACTATATTGGAACTTTTTATTATAACCGTATAAA